GGAAATTCTTAACTAAACTAGATACTAATGGGTTGTAGCCATAGTTGCTGAAACATTTTGCCATTAAAACTGTTTCGATGTTGTCAGTAGTCTCTTGGTAAGCTAAGAGAGGAGAAAATATTGCCCTAGAGCAATTAAAACAGAATTTTTAAAAACATCCTAAATATCAGATCACCAATATTATTTGAAAGACCATCTTACTACTCCTAGATATGTACTGCATTGGACTTGTGTGCAGGTAGACCCTGGGGACAGGGATGTCCCAATTAAAACAAAAAAAAATTTTCTAGATGCAAAATATCTATTTTAAGGTAGAAAGGCAATTAGAATAGAAGCTTTAGCTCTTGATACCTTATTCATTTGAGAACTTTTAATCACTCAATCTGTAATTTTAGTTAGTTCCAAATATGGACCATAGGCAGAAGTCTTCAGTGAAGAGAAGCTATCATGTATTTCTATGGGTGGACTTTTACAAATCTTGCTGTTTATATCCATTAATTCCCTGGTGAGTGGATTCTTTAATTACATGTCAGCTGTGTATTAGGCAAAATGAATGAAGAAATAAAGTGAGCATAGTTCTTTTAGTACAATGGCCAAAGGGAATGATGCAAAGTCATGGCAGAGAGGCTTGAACATATTTTACAGATTAAGGGATCTCAGTTTGTAAAAACAACATTAAAGATTTGGTTAGATAAAAATGATTATGTAATCCACAAAGCCAGAAGAGATGGGATTAGCCTCAAATAGGCCATTTCTTTGAGAAGAAGAGAGATGAAGATGGAGTGATTCGAGGTAAGTTTGTAGTTGGAGAACTAGGCCCTCAGAGAGAGAGAGTGCCCCAAAGACCTCCTATTTCACTTTGAAGATTTAAAAATCAAATCACTGAGGGGTACACTTGACGGGATGAGCACTGGGTGTTATTCTGTATGTTGGTAAATTGAACACCAATAAAAATTAATTTATAAAAAAAAAAAAACTTTTAAAAAAAGAAAAAAAAAATCAAATCTATTTTGATTGTTCTGGCTAAACTGCTGAGCCACCAGGGCTGCCCTCATGTCCATTTTATATAGATAGATAAGGCATTAAGCCCATGTTAGAGAGGAAGAACTCAAGGTCAAAGTACTTAAATGACTTGTCCAAGGTCATACAACTTGTTAATAGTGGCTTCTCAACTCCACACAGATTTTTTTTACCCTATGGTGCTCTTTCCTTTCATTCTGTTTATTGTTGTTCTACTGGTCATTCTCCATGCTTTGATTTCCTGCCCTAATCTTTCATTTATTTTTCAGAACCCTCAGGAAATTGCTTTCTGTATATTGTTTAGAGGTTTTGGCTGTAATCAGTAAGAGAGAGAGAGAGAGACTGTACTAATAAATTAAGAAAGATTGGGAACAAAGGACAACCAGAAAGACAATATATTAATGTTAGAAATATAAATTGTACTAGATACCCCAGAAGTCAAATGAATATATATGATATGGAAAGCCATGCAGAAGAACCATCAAAATATGGTCTAGGCAGATGGATCATTTGAATATTGGCATGAGGGCAGGCTAGAGATGATTGGTTGTGGAAAACATAGATAGTGGGTCTGTATGATCTAGTTCAGTGCTATAGGAAAGTTGGCATTAATGAGCATAATGAATTAAGAATTGTAGGGTTTAGTTTTATCATTTTTCATCTTAATGAAACTTCATGTAACATGTAGCCTTCTATTTTGATTGCTCTGTCAGTACATAAAATAAAATGAACAAAACTGAAGAATTCCGTATAGGAATGAAAAGTTAAAGGTTGCTTGTCTGCTAATAGGTCTATAGATAAGCTAGGTTTAACATGCTAAATTGAATATGATAGGGTCAGAAAAGTGACTTTAAATTATAGCACGATTTCAGACATTTTCTAGGCTACCAATCAGTGCCATAATCCCAAGGAGACAGAGATATATTTAACAGATTAAAATCTGGTTTTAACAGGTTTTCATTAAGTACGTTTTTATATACATACAACTTCTGGGCTATTTCATATTATAAATTCAAGTCATGGCTTGATCTTTCAGCCTCGTGGCAACACATCTGGAAATACTATGCATCACTGAAACTTTCATAGGAATTTTGTGAGCTTTAAAATACTGCATATATGATCATAAAGTTCCATAAAGGGAACTTTATGATCATATATGATTATAAACTTTATAATGCTAGTATTCACTGGCATATTAAACTAAGATGGCACTGAGGGGTATATTATTGTCTATGTTAATAATCTATAAATGAAAGACTCCCTTCAGTTCAAGTGAATATAGTTCTTCCCTCTAACTGTTCATGATGCCATTGATCTATTGTGCTCACAGGAGAAAAACCAAAATGGCACAATTAAAATTGTAACCAATGTCAACAAGTAACTATACTCCTTTTTGGGGGGTATTATGAAATGGAAAGATCTTCTGAAACTTAGAATGGTTCCAGTGGCTTAGAAGATGTTAGAGAATTATTTGGGGCTTTTCACACTTGAAGGAATCCTGGACTTTGAGTTAAATTGTTTAGATCTAAAATCAGCTTTATTGTTGATGTACAGTGTCAACATGGGCAAGTTACTTAAACTTTTCATAGCAAGTGTGGCTTAACCACAAGATGACTGTATATATATAGTCAGATGGCCTGGAAAAGCTTGTTGGCACTGCAGGAGGCTGTGGGGCAGCCAGAGGAGCTCTCCTCCTCAGCCAGAGGAGTTTGTAAGTCAGTGTCATCTGGCAAGTCAGAGATGCTGGAGAGGCATTAGGAATCCTTTCACCTCAAGTGGGCCTCTCTCTTCCGGGTTGTACAGCCATCCTTTATCTTCCTTCTGAGTGTGTACTAATTATCTGTTAACAAGAAAGCAGAATGAAGAGATTTCAACTGAACAAGATGCACAAACTGCAACTGAATATAAGTAAAAATTCTTTTAACCAACCTCAGTGTAACTCACCCACTCCAATTTTGTCACTTCCTCTGTCAATCCCATCTGACCATGCTGTGGTGTGCTTAGTGTTTGCAGCTGATAGGATACTTTCTAGTATGCTGACATACTTGTGTTCCTACCAGCTGAGTTGTGTGCTTACTAAGAATCAGCTATACTTGTTTCTAAAGCTTTTATGACATTTCTGCATACCCAGTGACATTAGGACCAATTATTGTTCCTGGTCTCACTGGGTAAGAAGGCTTCTTTATTACGTAATAGTTCAACATAGTAACCTACTCATTGAAGTTGAACCCACTTACTCATTTGGGAAACTGTGGGCGTTTGTAGTTTGGGCAAGCTTCTTCTATGCATTCTTGCTTATCTCTGTGTTGCTCCCCCTACCTGTGTATCTTAGAAGTGAGAAAATAATTCTTTAAGTTTGCAGGATAGGGTAAAATTTAAACAAGATATAGATATGGAAACACTGCAAATAAATGTTTTATGTATTGTAGATGCTACAGTCTTAATATTTATAATGGGGAGTCCATGAATCATGGTTTGAGAAAATTCTCAGGTTTTCTTAGATTCAGGTTTATGTACAAAATCCTAGAACTAAAAAAAAAAAAAGAAAAGAAAAGAAAAAAAAAATCCTAGAACTCCTTTGCTTTTCTTATTTGTCATTTTGAAAAACTGTGGTTTGAGGAGTTCCCCACACTCTTACTAAACTAAACTTAAGCCAGTATGCTTAAACACAAATGTTAGATTTCTTAGACTAATAAAAAGACTAGATTTGATTCACATAAAACCAATAGTTGTTTTTAGTACTCTCAGTTTCTGTGGACATCAGCTTCTTTTGTTAATACTTCTCATCTTAGAAAATGAAATAATAGCTTATGATTCTTAATAAAGTACATCTGTATTGTCTTTTAATTAGCAATTAGCTTTTGGCAGCTGTAGTTTTAAGTGTATATGCATGCTTTCGTGTCATATGCACTTGAGTTTGAATCCTGACGCTACCATGTACTTAAACCTCCTTAAACCTGTTTTCTTACCTCTATATGAACATGATAATACATACCTCATAGGGTTAATGAAGATAAAAAGATAATGTATGTGAAATGTATGGGCATGTGGCACAGTAGGTACTCAGTAGTGCTCCTTTTCTATCAGTTTTAAATTTTCATTCTGAGTCATAGATAAAAACAGGAAACTTATGTAAATTACTCATGCACCTAATGTGGTTGGTCTAGAGACTATTTGCAATGAAACAGAGTAAGAGGGATATAGTATTTGCTGCTGTAAGTTTCTATCATTTCTAAAATTATTTCATCCATTTCTTAAGTACCAACTGGTATTGCTGCATCTTTAGAATATGAAAATTTAGGGATCCCTGGGTGGCGCAGCGGTTTAGCGCCTGCCTTTGGCCCAGGGCGCAATCCTGGAGACCCGGGATCGAATCCCACGTCGGGCTCCCGGTGCATGGAGCCTGCTTCTCCCTCTGCCTGTGTCTCTGCCTCTCTCTCTCTCTCTCTCTCACTGTGTGCCTATCATAAATAAATAAAAATTAAAAAAAAAAGAATATGAAAATTTAGTTTTATGTGGCCCTGAATACTTTCAATGTGTGACGAGAGGGAGAGAGAGAGAGAGAGAGAGAGAGAGAGAGAGAGAGAGGAACCAGGTAAAGGCTGTAAGAAGAATAAAAGGAATAGGGGCAGCCCGAGTGGCTCAGCGGTTTTTAGCGTGGCCTTCAGCCCGGGTCCTGATCCTGGAGTTCCGGGATCGAGTCCTATGTCGGGCTCCCTGCATGGGGCCTGCTTCTCCCTCTGCCTGTGTCTCTGCCTCTCTCTCTGTGTGTGTGTGTGTGTGTGTGTCTTTCATGAATAAATAAATAAAATCTTAAAAAAAAAAGGAATAAATAAAATTTGTTGTGGTCATCCCCACCTAACAAACCTTTTAAAAGTAATCTAAGTGACATATGCTTTCTCTTTTACCACAAAGAATTGGAAAGTTTTAAAAAAGAATATTAAAAAAAAAATTCATCTTTCCTTTTTTTGTTTCTCCAGCCTCTGTTCCGTCCCTTGCCCACCTTTGTCGTTTGGAAATTCGGTCCAGTCTAAAACCAGAACACCTACGATCTGACAGTTTTATCTGTCAGTTGCCACTTCCTAGAAGCCTCCATAATTATTTGCTCTATGCAGAGGTTCTGAGGATGAATGAAGTTCCAGAATTGGCAGTTATTCAAGATGGAGAAATCAGTGAAGCTACTTAATGCAGCTCATGTTTTACTCTGAAAACCACCAAAACGAAGAGCCATGCAATACAAATTCTTCATGATTTTATAGTCATAAAAGATGATTTTTGTTGCTTAGGTTTTGGGTGGGGGGGCAGTAGTTTAATGCAAATGTTTACAATTGGGCTTTCTGATAAAAAAAATACTGTAAACTTCACTTATGTTATTCTGTTGCAGATTCATCACCAGTGCATTTTTATGTTGTAGATTCATTTACCTAACCATTTTCTGCTTTATTCTGTTAATGAACTGCAATGCTGCTTCTAGTGCTAACCATGGCATATTTCCGCCTATGATTCAGTGTTTGCCTAGGGCTAGGAGCTTAGAATGAAATGTATAAAACTTCCCTGGAAGTGTACACACAGTGGGGTTGAATCTATTACTGTTACTATTATTTTATCTGAAGTTGACCATCTTTTATGTTTATAAAAAGTATTTTACATTCCATTCTCATTTCTTAATTCAGTCAGTTTTATGAAGAATTTCTACTCAGTGGCTTTTCACAGATAAACTCAGGGGAGAACTTTTTTTTTTTTTTTTAAAGAAAATAGAAAATGAATAATTTTGCTGTTGTTGGTTTCTTCCCCCCCTCCCCCCCAATTCCTTGGTACTCTCTTTGGCTAAAAGAAACTCCCATTTCTGCAAAAACAAGAACAGACTTAAACTCAAAAATAAGCTCAGTTGAAAATAATTAGGTCTGTATTGAAATAAAGGAGCATTTTACCACATTTAGAATACTGATCAGGACACAGGGACATTTCTGTGGCAACCATCTTTAAAGAAAGAAAGCTATATATTTCTGTCACTTAGTATCAAATAAAACATTCGAGCTCCATTCAGCGTCCAAATCTGAGCTTTGATCATAAGAAGCAGATTGCCAGTTATATTAATATTATATAATATTATATTAATATTATACTATTCTTCCTTTTGATTATCTAGATAGGTTATCAAGTAGTCCTTGGTCCTATGAAATAAAGAATAGACCTCAGAATCCTAAGTTAATGAAACACCACCTCATTGGTTTTACAGTTGCTCAATATGAATCTATGGCCAGAGAGGACTAAACACTGGATCAGCTGAGCTATGGTAAGATGTTGTTGGGGACCAGCCTTAAAGTTGATGAAAGCGTTACTATTATGATAGACAGTTAGGAATTGGGTCCACAGGTGGGCAAGGCTTCTGTCCTAATGGGATCCTGTGGTTTGAAATAGATGGGAGTGTCAGCCAGGTCTATCCCTACTAGGCCTTTGTTATTTGATAACAGCAGTGATGAAGACAGACCAAATGATGGAAGCATTGTTAAGGTCCAGAGACTGAACTTGGTCCAGATTAGAGCTATAGTTGCTGCCTGTGAGTGGAGATAGAGTTTGAATGTGGGTATACAGCAGAAATAAGTGTAAATATGGAACACCAGTTGGAAATTCTGGTACTTAATAAAGAAATTCCAAGAATATATATACTATGTAGTAATTTCTAAGTGTTGTTTTAATCTTTATTTTTCCAAATCCTAGGTCTCCAATTTTTAACATAAACTGGTTTATCATTAGGGCCAAATACACATAGAATGTTTACATTTGACGGTGAGTCTTCTCATGTGTTTTTGTTCATGTTCAATGTATAATAAAAATTAAACTATCCATAACATCATTGAGCTCTTGTTCTTAAGAATCTGAAAATGGGTATTTCAGAGACATTTAAAAGCCATATTTAAGACATAAATAACTTTATTTGCTGTGTACCACATATATTTCTTTTAGACTGCTTTATAATAAAATATTTATTGGCATTTATGACTTACAGCAAGGATTCAGTGAGAAATCTGAAAGTATCTATGGGTAGTGAGTTACAGTTAAAACTTCTGATCAAAATGATGCCTCTGGTTATTGTGAACCATAAACCCTACCTATATGCCTAATGGTGCTTTAATACTCTCCATTTTTATTTTTTATTATTATTTTAAAAATATTTGTGCTGTTGTTTTTAATACTCTCATTTTAAAGTCACAGTGAGCTTCCTGAAGAACTTTGTGGTACTCATTACTAGAGCAAGACACAGATCAGTTTTAGTAACAGTTGTCAAGATTTCACATGCACACATCCCTACCCAGATCCTGTGTTATCCTTTATTTCCTGTTGGTCCTTCCTGTCATAGGATATTTTTTTGTGATCATTTGATGGAACAGTGGTAACCTGAACATTGTTTATTTCTAACTCTCCTTTTTTGCCAAGTAGCAAGTGTCTTGATATGTACCTTTCTTGATGGCCCTAGTTCCCAGAGATGAGTTACACTCCTCTTGTGTTCCATGACCATCCACCTATGTCAGTGATAATCCTTAATAGACAGCCAGAGTGTCATATTTATATCACATGACCAGTGGGTACCTCTACTTTAATAAATCTGTTCTTTCCACCTACGTCTACCTGTAAACCTACGTGAAAATTGTTATGTTTTATAGATTTTCAAGTGTTAGGTATAGCTTGAAAACATTAATATTTTTGACTGATTACTCCCTAAAATTTATAATTTTCTTGCTCCTCAAAAATGTATCTTGAATAATAACTAGTACAAATGTAAATATCCATGTCTTCCCTGAAATAGTAAACTTGGTAGTTCCATGAGCATGGGATATAGAAAGAAGTTGAGAAAATCCATCTAAAAGTTTGCCTTTCACTTTTATACTCCTCTGTATTCTTAGAGGTATATATTCCCCTGATTATATTCATTAGTCATAGAAATATTTGTTTGAGAAGGAGCTCTGCAATTTTTATTAGCAGGTGCCTTAGTGCTATTGTGGAAAGATTTTAAGTTGCTAGTGAAGTTGCTAGTGATGTGGCCATTTTCAGTTTTATGAGCCAATTGTTTTATTTTTTATTATTATTATTTTAAAGTGTTTTGAGAGAGAGCACAAGCAGAGGGGAAGGGCAGGAGAAGAGGGAAAAGCAAGCTCCCCACTGAGCAGGGAGCCTGATATGGGACATCATTCCAGGACCGGGGGACCACAACCTGACCCCAAAGGCAGATGCTTAATCAACTAAGCCACCCAGGCTCCCTATGATCAAGTGTTTTAGGTCTAACAATTTAGGAGAATAACCAGTAAAACTGTACACTGCTGTCTTCCAATTTCAGGAGTTCATCCTTTGTATAAAGCAAATGTAGACTCTGCCCACTGGCTTCATCCAAATATTCAACTTAGAGTTTCTCGAAGCTAAAGGAATTTCTAGAGCTTTTCCTGTGAGCTGAGACATAATAATAGTACCATGTGTACTATTAATTCCCCTGAATTTCTTTTCCTAGAGCACTTTCCTCCTCTCTTATATCAGGCAGCCAGTCACATATAACTGAGTATCAAGACTAATATGTAGAAGAGAGCTTACTCATGATTCTATGTGACCTAGGGTAGTTAGCTGAAAGATAATTAAGAGTGGGTATACCTGCATCACAAAAGGAGTATGATATTTTATTTAGAGCAATTGTTGGATCTCTGTGTCTACACTTAAACATTCTCTCTAGGAGTAATAAGTCTGGGCCCATGTTTGAAGGTGTAGAGACTATCATGATAGTTTTATAAACACCTTTTTTCTTCTCTTTACCCTTTTCCATTTTTTACAAAACATTTAGTGAAAATTCATTCTGTGTATTAATTCTGTGTAACATTTAGTGAATATTCTTCTGTGTAACTATTATGATTTCCTGTTTTGCTTTCTCTTTGTTTTTCTCTGAGGCTAAATTAATCTATCCTCATTTGTATTTGTTATTATTAAATTACAGGTAGCCATTGAAATACAGTACTTCGTAGTAAGTAACCTTTTTTGTTGGAGTCGATAAAAACCTGTGGTTTTAATGAGAGGGAACTAATGATGCTTCATATTTTTGTGAAATTTTGGTGGAAAAATGTAATTTTTAAGATGTATTTATTTGAGAGAGAGTATGAGCATGGGGAGGGGCAGAGGGAGAGGGAGAGGGAGAGAGAATCTCCAGCAGACTCCTCATTGAACGCAGAGCCTGACGTGGGATGTGGGGCTTGATTTCACAACCCTGAGATCATGACCTAAGCTGAAACCAAGAGTTGGATGCATAACCAAACTGAGCCACCCAGGTGTCCTGAAAAATAAAGTTTTTATTTGCGACCACATGTCAGTAATTTATACTGAGAGGCCAGTCTGAATTATATTTTTTATGGAAACATATACTTGGAAACATACTTGGGGTGTCGATTTTAAGTCTATTTTCTGCAGTTGTTTTAGTGATAAGACATTTAAATTTTTTTAAATTTTTTTAGACATTTAAATTTTAAATAAAAGGACATCTGTTACCCTCTCCCCAAGCTAGTAAAGATCTTAAAAAAAAATTCTTACGCAGTAATAACAATAGTAGCACATTTAGTTGTTTCACTTTAAAAGAAAAAGATATTTTAAAACTAGAAAGAAGAGGGAAGAAGGGAGATAGAGCCATAGTCTTATCATCTGGACCCAATATTAACGTTAACCTATATATTAGAATATTTTCTTTCTCTCAGGCTTTTAAAAAATCTGTACACATGGTTGAGGATGTTTTTTTCTTCCCATAGATAAAATCAAGCCACTGTTACAGTTTTGTACCTGATCAAGCCTTTTGTTTGTCATGTTAATGATACCTGTGGCCAAGCTCAAGCCATGAGTTATCACAAATTATGAATTGGTAAGAGTGAGAAATAATGAGAAATTTCTGGGTTGATTATTTTCCTAGCACATCTGCATAAAGCAAATAATCCCTCTCAGCTACTTGGAGAGGAGAGTGGAAGAGAGACCATTGTAAACCTGCATTAGTCATCTGGTTTCAATCCAGATAGTGTGTAGTTGCTTATCTTTTTCATGAACTCTACTATAACTATGTATGCTATCTATTTTTAATGAAGAAATTTAAAATACGATTGTTGCAGTAAAGACTTGTGTCTGTATGGTTTTCCTGTCTCTTGGTTTCTTTCTCATGCATAGCACTAATAGATGAAGCAGAACAGGTGGTAATTGCCATTGGCGCGCTGAGACTTGTGAGTAGCATCTGTTTATGTCTCTTTTACTATCAAATGGTTAGCATAACCTTCTCTTCACTGCTTTCCTATGTGGATGATAAAAGTCTATTATGAGTCATTATAAGGTGCTAATTTACACTCTTTTTCTAACATGATGGAATAGGTGAAGAAGAAAGTCCATCTGGTGACTAAATATGACTATGATTTGAATCAAACAATTAAAAAGAAGGCATAATACTTCTGAGCTTATTACAGAATATTGGATCAAAAAGTATGTGCCAAATATATCAATTCCAAGCTGGAGTAGTTCCATAATTAGATGCATTAATTAGCAATGTGTACTCTATATTTCCATTTTGACACTTAAAAGTATTTACTTTGTTTTACAGAAAACATTCAAATTCTTATGGTCTTCATCTTGCTTTGTAATTATTTGGTTTTATTAAAGCCCACTTTTAAATGTCATGGTGTGGTATTTGTGCATGTTGATGCAAGTGCAAACTTACTCTTTTTTATCCTTTTATTATGGAAAATTTCAAGCATAGAGAAAAATACAGAATTGTATAATGAACTTCCATGTTCCCATCACTCAGCTTTAATAATGACCAACTCATGCCCACTCTTATTTCCTTTTCCCCACCAGTTCCTTCTCCCATAGCCATTTTGAAGCAAATTCCAAATGTATCATCTATTAATATTTTAGTATGTATCTCTAGAAGTCAAGGACTCCCTTTTAAAAACATAACTATAATACCATCATTACACCTTCCTAAAAAACCCAGTGATTTTTTAATATCAAATATCCTGTCAGTATTTACATGTTTTTAATTGTACTATAACTCTTTAAATGGTTTGCTTAAATATCCAAAAATATCACTGTGATGTGATTCTTTTTTCACTGAAATTCTTTGGTTGAAGACAGGTTATATTCCCATAGACTTTTCCACAGTTTGGATTTTGCTGATTATAACCCTTTGCTGTCATTTAACCCCATGCTGTTTTTTATTGTATTAGTTATATATTCCTGTGTAATACATTGCCTCAAAACTTTCTTTTCAATAATTGATTCTCCAATATCCTTTAAAGATGATCGCTAAGTCCTTTTTTTAATATTAATATAAGCGTGGACTTTTGATATGTTCTGATCCATTGCAGCTATTACCCTTAAATTGCAGTTCAAATTGTTCCATCTTTAGCTAGTATTTAAGTGGTCTTTGATAGCTTTTTTTTTTTTTTTTTTTTTTTGCTTTCTGATAATAAGATATTCCAGTTTTATCTTGTACATTTCTTTCCTCGGACCTGGAATTGGCCGTTTTCCCAAAGACCTTTGTTTCTTTGGAAATGGTATTGTATAGACTTCAGTATGTGTTATGTGCACACACTTATGCACATGCACACACAGAGTAATCTTGGCATTAGGGGTGTTCCTTTCTACTGGTTTGATCACTGTTCAGTGAGCAGAGCTAAGAAGTATACATTCTGTTTATGTTCTTTATATTGATAATTCAAATTCAAGAATACATTTTAAAAATTCAACTTCAGTGATCTTACAACTATATATTTCCTTTCTTCATGAGAGACAGAGAAGGCAGACACATGGGCAGAGGGAGAAGCAGGCTCCCTGCAGGGAGCCTGACATGGGACTCGATCCTGGGAGTCCAGGATCACACCCTGGGCCAAAGGCAGATGCTGAACCACTGAGCCACCCAGGTGTCATATATTTCCTTTCTTATATGCCGAATATCCTACTTCTCAATGACACTACAGTTACCCATTTATTTTATACAAGATTAATACAATAGTTTCAGAATAGCAATTTCTACACTACCATCAGTAATATTAGTGTAAACAGTTTAAAAATTCTATCTGCCCCAATTCTTTTTGTTATTTAGGTATATGTCACAATAGGTGTACAAATTGCTATGTTTCCAACTTGAGTGCAAAGGATCATGTGTTTTATTTTTATTTTGTCTTTTAGGAATTTTTAAAATGTAATTTTGCCTTATGAGAAATATTTACATGATTTAAAGTTAAATGTAAAAAAAAATAAAGTTAAATGTACAGAAAAAAGTATATTCAAAGAAATGTGACTTCTATCTTCTGTTCATCGTATTTCCTCCCTCTCCCATAAGAAAAGACTTATTATAATTTATATCTTGTTTTAAAAGTAAGCATATATTTTCAAAGCCCCCTTCCCTAAGATAGGCAAAAGAATAGTATACACAGCTTTTTCCATCTTGCTTTTTTTCAAGTAGTATAATCTGAATATTAATAATAAAAAGAAATGAGGATAGCCTTTATATTTTTATAGCAACTGTGCTGATATACCAAAGTTTATTCAGTCTTTCCTCTACTGATGGATATTGGGATTATTTCTCGTTTTGTGCTATTACAAATGGTGCTTCATTGAATAAATTTATGCTGTTTGTAGTTTTACCAGTTTATCATTGGAAGGTTCCTCGAATGGGAATTACTAGGTCTAAGGGTAAATGTATGTGAGTTTGCTAGACACTGCCAATTTCTTCTGCAAAGGCAAATCATATGTACCGTTAATGTTTGAGTGTCTATAGAGTCATCAAATGTTTACCTATTTGCCAGTCGTGGGTGACAAATATACCTTAGTATAGTTTTAGCTTGGATTTCTCCAATGAGCAAGATGGAACGTCTTTTCATATTGGTGGGAGGAATGGATCCAATTTCTATGTGACTATCCAGTTATCTTAGCAACCTTTGTTAGAAAATCCCTCTTTTTTCTCCCCCTTCCTATATGTTCATCTGTTTTGTTTTTAAAAAATTTTTTTTTATTTACTTATGATAGTCACAGAGAGAGAGAGAGAGAGAGAGAGAGAGAGGCAGAGACACAGGCAGAGGGAGAAGCAGGCTCCATGCACCGGGAGCCCGACGCGGGATTTGATCCCGGGTCTCCAGGATCGCGCCCCGGGCCAAAGGCAGGCGCCAAACCGCTGCGCCACCCAGGGATCCCTGTTTTGTTTTTAAATTCCACATATGAATAAAATCATATAGTATTTGTCTTTCTCTTGCTGACTTATTTCACTTAGTGTAATACACTCTAGTTTTATCCATGTTACTGCAGATGGCAAGATTTCACTCTTTTTGATGTCTGAGTACTATTCCAAAAATAGGTTAGATCTATCTATCATCTATCTATCATCTATCTATCTATCTATCTATCTATCTATCTATCTATCTATCTATATCTATCTATCTATCTATGTATCTATCTATGTATCTATCTATCTATTTATCTATCTATGTATCTATCTAAGTTTGGAATAGTACATATCCATCAGTCAGTGAACATTTGGACTCTTTCCATAGTTCGGCTATTGTTGATAATGCCGCTATAAACATTGGAGTTTGTGTATCCCTTCAAATCCGTATTTTTCTATCCTTTGGGTAAATATGTAGTAGTGCATTTCCTGCATCATAGGGTTGTTCTTTTTTTTTTTTTTAAGATTTTATTTATTCATGAGAGACACATAGAGAGGCAGAGACATAGGCAGAGGGAGAAGTAGGCTCACCGCAGGGAGCTTGATGCAGGACTTGATCCCAGGACCCTGGGATCATGACCTGAGCCAAAGGCAGATGCTCAACCACTGAGCCACCCAGATATTGAGTTTTTTTTGTTATTAATTGATTTATATAGTTGGCTGCTCCCAGATCCGAGGCATAAATATGTATAATCATTAGATCTTCTTGATGGATAGACCCTCTTATTATGATATAGTGCCCTCCTTCATCTTTTGTTGTAGTCTTTGGTTTAAAAATCTAGTTTGATGTAAGTATAGCTACTCTGGCTTTCTTTTCACATCCATTAGCATGATAGATGGTTCTCCATCCTCTCACTTTCACCTTGGAGGTGTCTTAGGTCTAAAATGAGTCCAGCATATAGCTGGGTCTTGTTTGTTATTTTTAAATCCATCTGATAACCTATATCTTCTGATTGGAGCATTCATTCCATTTACATTCAAGTGATCATTGACAGATAAGAATTTAGTGCTGTTGTATTACCTGTAAAGTCAATTGTTTCTAGAGTGGTCATGAACTCCTTTAGTTTTTGTTTGGGATTTTTTCCCCCCTGGAGGGAGTAGTAGGGAGAGGCAGAGGGAGAGGGAGAGAATCTTAAGCAGGCTCTCCACCCACAGCCAGCACAAGCCCGATACGGGGCTTGATCTCACAACCCTGAGATCATGACCTAAGCTTAAATCAAGAGTCAGAAGGTTAACCAACTGTGTCACCCAGGCGCCCTTGTCTGGAAAACTATTTTGAATGACAGCTTTGCTGAATAAAGTATTCTTGGCTGCATATTTTTCTCATTTAGCACTTTGAATATATCATGCCACTTTCTTCTGGCCTGCACAGTTTCTGTGGAGACATTGTTGCTAACCTTATTTGTCTTCCCTTAGAAGTTAGGGATTTCTTTTCCTTGTTGCTTTCAGGATTCTTTCCTTATCTCTGTATTTTGCAAATTTTACTAGGCTATGTCTTGGTGTGGCTGGCTTTTATTGATTTTGATGGGAGTTCTCTGTGCCTTCTGGATTTTAATGTCTGTTTCTTTCTCCAGGTTAGGGAAGTTTTCAGGTATAATTTATTCAAATAAGCCTTCTGCCCCTTTCCCCCTAAGGTATGAATGTTATTATGTTTTATGAAGTTTCTGAGTTCCCTGAGCCTACATTCATGATCCAATATTTTCTTTCCATCTTCTTTTCAGTTAAAATTATTTCCCATAATTTTATCTTCTGTATCGCTTATTCCTCTGTTTCTTCCATCCTGGTGGTCATTATATTCAGTCAGTTTTGCATCACAGTTACAACATTTTTATTTTGGCCTGACTAGTTTTTAGGTCTTCTATCTTTGTGGTAGAATGTAGTTTCTTCTATGCTTTTCTCAAGCTCAGCTAGTATCCTTATGA